CATTTTAACTGTGGTAGGATATGTCTAGCTGGTGGTAGCAGCAGAAATGATGACTTTCTATGAAGCCATAATTAGCTATAGGGAGGATTTGGATCTTCCTGATTTAGTGTAATAAGGTTTACTTGTTAACAAGTAATTAGTTAATTTTTAGAATCACGTATTTTTTAAATTATTTATTTGCCATTATCCTCGGACAACTTTTTGAAACTTAATTGTTGTTATAAATAAATTAGTATAGTTGATTCTTTTTTTTTTTATCTTTTGAATTGTCGCTGTTCCTCTTCGTCATAATAATTCTTTTTTAAGATTTTTTTGTGTGATGTACAGTATGATGATAGTGAATGTAAATAAATGGTTCTGGTACGACTGTGTTTTTTATAAGACAAAAAAATTATTGATATAAATCTAATTCTTTTTTTAATGGTAAATCTAATTTTTTAAATTTTAACTTGAGGAAAAAGATAAAACAAACGTCAGAACAGCTTGCTTCTTAGCTTCTTAATATATTAAGAGTAACTAGGAAAAACTCGCCTTGTAAAAAGTGGCTTAGTATCAACCTTCTTGGCTTAAAAGTGGCTTGGTCGCTTACCATTTTTACTCGCATAATAGAACGAATGTATTTTATAAATAAATAAATAAAAATCAATTTAATTTTCTTGAAGAAACTAAAAAAAACATGAGGTTAAAAAAAGAATACGATTCAGTACCATCAAAAGATTCCGAGTTCGAACAACAAGAAAGCTCCACAAGTTTGAAAGAAAGTGATAAAAATGAAAATTCTGAAGAAGAATTAGGAGAGGTTGATGGTGATGATGATAGTGAAAGGAACAATATGCTTAATGACAGAGAAAGAGATGAAGATGAAACAGTTGTAAATATGGACGAAGGTTGGGAAAGTGGTTATGAAAAAAAAGATGTAAGTTTTATCATTAAGGTCTTCTCTCCTGATGGATTATTTTTTTAAAAAAATAAATTATAAATTATTATCATCATTATTAACCGTAGAAAGCTGAGAGATCATTGGTCCCATGTTTGGTGATTGCTGCTGTTTTTATTCTTGCATGGGTTGGTTCTGCTATATTGTATGCATATTATCGATCAAGTGGTGCCTCTGAATTACCGAATCATTTACAATTCGATGATATTTACAATGGAAGCTTTTATCCCAGCGCGTATGATCTGGAATGGAGTACTGTTGGTATGTTGAAGTAGTTTTCTTGACATTTAATACATATATTCTATAATTCTAACCTGATTGTACAATTTGTGTATGTATGTATAATAAACAGGCGATGATGATGGAACATTTATATATCGTGATGAACTAAGTAATATAGTTTTGAAACATATAGCTGATAAATCAAAGAAGGTGTTTTTGGCCAAAGGCGAAGACCTTAAAGATGTTCGTACCATACTTTATTATTATAATTAGATTTATGAAAATTATGAAAAAAGTAAATATATTAATAATATATGTTTATATTATATTATAATTATAAATTTATAGCCCTATGGCGATTTTCTACTATATTTTTCATTTAAAGTCTCAGGAGATTCTCAGTACATTTTACTTGAGACAAATAGAACAAAGGTAAAGATTATTTTGATATGTAAATAAAACAAAATATATAGATCGTTTACTGAATAAAATTTAATTAATTATTAGGGTTGGCGTCATTCATACACTGCCAATTTTTGGGTTTTTAATACAACTTCAAAAACAGTAACACCGTTGGTCAAATCATTTGAAAATTCATCAGATTATCCGCTACTGTCTATTGCACTTTGGAGCCCTGTTGGCCATGATATTGTAAGGTTTCATTTAACGGCTTTTTTTCTATAGGAATATTAGTAATTGATAACTTTATGATTTTGTAGTTATATGTAAGAGACAATGATTTATATTTATTAGTTGGATTGACCGAAGAAAGACGTATTACTTTTGATGGATCAAATATTATTTACAATGGTATACCGGACTGGGTTTACGAAGGTGATATATTTATATTTATATTTATATAAATAAATGTCAAGCATGAATTTTTAATTGATTTATTATTTATTTATTTTGATTAGAGGAAGTACTCGCAAGTAATATTGCCACATGGTGGTCTACTAGTGGCAAAAGAATTGCATACCTTCGATTAAACGATAGTGAAGTACCAGAGTTCCATTTGTCTTTATATAACGACAATCATCATATTGGTCCCTATCCAAATGATTTTGTTATGAGATATCCGAAACCAGGTTATCCAAATCCTACTGTGGCTCTTTACATATATCATTTAGATACGCCGTTAGTAGCACAGTCGGGACCAGTCGTGATTGAAAATGATTTCAAGGAAGATAATAAACTAATAACAGAACTTGCATGGTGCGGTGATGATCAATTACTAGTAAGAGTTATGAATCGTATTCAAGATATTCAAAGGACTGTACTTGTCGATGCAAGGAAATTAAAAGGGAAAGCAGTACGTGAAGAAAGTACTGCCGTTACAGATAATGGATGGTTTGAAATTGTATGTAATACTAATAATATTATTATTGTTATTGCTATTGCCATTGCTATTGTTGTTGTTTTTTTTTTAATTGAAAATTTTTTTTTCCTCATCCTAAATAGACAAAGAGTATGATTTACATCAAACCCATTGGTAGCATTAAATCTGATTCATATTTAGATATTATGAGTAACAACGGTTATGATCACATAGCTTTGTTCTCTACCCTTGATTCATCCAAACCGCAATTCCTTACTAGTGGTGAATGGGAAGTGGTAGGCAAGATAAGCGCGATTGATTATAGCCGTGAATTAATGTATGTATTAATTAATAGTATAACCTTTTTCCCTAAAAAAAATATTTCTATTTTTATATGCGAAAATGGTTGTTGCACATCCAATAGCAATATAAGTTAATTAAAATATCATCGATATTATTATAAAAATAGATATTTTATAAGTACAGAACAATCCTCGATTGAGAGGCATTTGTATTCCGTAAGTTTTGATGGTAAAAATAAAACTGCACTAACGCCATTGGACAAACCTGGCTATTATGAGGTAAAATTTTCGCCAAAAGCTCAATACTATGAATTGAAATATCAAGGACCTGATGTTCCATGGCAAAAAGTAAAAAAAATTGGAGATGAAAGTAAGCTGGAAATTACATTATTTTATACGTGTATATGTTTTATGTTTATTTTTACTTATCTATACCATCCATCCATCTATGTATTTATCTAAAATTGAATAGAATTTGAAATAGTTCTTGAATCTAATGATGGTCTTCGGGAATTATTGTCTAAATACGAGTTACCCAAACAAAGATATTTGACTGTAGACATTAATGGAAACAGTAAGTAAAGAAATTTAATGACTATAAGCTTACTCACATTATATGTATGTTTATTCTTACACTATTCTTATTCTGTTAAGAACTTAATGCTTTGGAAATAAGTCCACCTAATATGGATGAAAGTGGACATAACAAATATCCCGTTTTATTCAGGGTATATGGCGGACCAGGTTCACAAACTGTATCACAAAGATTTGAACTTGATTGGCATTTATTTTTAGCATCAGCGTCAAAGCTTAAGTATATTGTTGTGACGGTTGATGGCAGAGGAACCGGATTTAAAGGTCGTGAATTCCGTATGTGTGTAAGAACTCGATTAGGCGAATTTGAAGCAAAAGATCAAATAAGTGCAGCAAAATATTGGTCAACATTACCTTATGTTGATAAAAATAGAATGGCTATTTGGGGATGGTCATTTGGTGGATTTGTTACATCTAAAGTTATTGAAGCCGATTCTGGTGCATTTCAAATCGGAATAGCTGTAGCTCCAGTAATTGATTGGAGGTAATTTTATATTAATTGTAAAATTTATATTTTTTTTAATTTTATTGATTGATTATTATTAAATATTATTTTTATAGATTTTACGATTCTGTATATACTGAACGTTATATGAAAACGCCGGAATTAAATCCTAATGGTTATGAGCTTAGTGCAGTAACTAATATGACTGGATTTGATAATGCAAAATTTTTATTAATTCATGGAACTGGTGACGGTAAATATTCCTTTAATATAATAATAATAATATTATAAAATGATAATTAAATACTTAATAATATGATATTTATTCTTTTGTGTGCGTGTATATATTATAATATAATAGATAATGGTAAGTGTCGATATTAAGATATAATCATATAATTTACCTTTTGCTTTAAATTATTTCTTAGTTTGCTAACAAATTTTAATCTTCGATTTCTAGTACACTTTCAAAATTCGTTAAGTTTAATCGATCGTTTTACACTTGCATCAGTACATAATTATCGAGTACAAATTTATACAGATAGTGATCATTCAATTCAAAAACATAATGCAAATCGCGAGGTAAATTATTAAAATTTACAAAAAAAATTTAAATTATTCAACAATTATAAAATAAAGACTAATTATAACATCCAATATCTTATTTTCTCCAGCTCTATTATTTAATAACTGAATATTTATGGCAAAATTTTGGTTCAAGCGAACATCACCATTAACACTATAATAATTATAGAATAATAATCAGCATGTATACATATAATTCATTCATACGTACACACACAAACATTTATAAGTTTTTGATTATTTTGTATATTTTTTTTACTTGTAAAAAATAAAAACTTTTTAATAGTAAAATATAATAATATTATTTTTATTTATATGGTAATGTTTATACATAAAACGCCAAAAAAAAAGCACTGCTTTCTTGGAATTTTAATATGGTTTTTTTAAAATTATTTCTCTTTAATTAAATGCATATATATATATATATTATTATAAATACTTTTTTTATAATTAAATAAAGAAAAAAAAAATCAATATATTTAAATTAAAGAAAATAAAATCATTCGGGATTTGGGGTAGTTGGAGTAGAATATTTTTCGATGGTTGGATGAAGTGCAGTTAAATTTCCATAATCTTTAAAATCTTTATGATGATTATTTATATCGATGGGTGAAGATGTGGTGGCTGAATCATCATCCAAGATGGTATGATTGTGATTATTATTATGATGATGGTAAATTCCTTGTTTGAGATTTACTTGAGGAAAAATGTATTTTTGTTGATAAAAACATTGAGGAGATTGTTGCCATTGCCAATATTGATGACCGTTGGGTGGATTGGAGGCTTCAACTATGCTGTGCATATATTTCACGTATAGACTATCAACAAACTCTTGAAAAACTTTTCTACGTCCTTGCCAATATTCATTCAATCCACCTCTATGTTGGTTCCCTTCTTCCTCGCCGTCCATTTTTTCTCTGGTGTTCCCGATTGTGGAATTATCAGTTATTACTGTCGTTTCATTTGTAGCTGTTGTTATTTTTAGCATATCAAAACCAAATCCTATGACCATTTGGATTGTTGAAACAAAACCTATTACTACCAACAATGAATTCCATATAAAAAACCTAAGAAAAAGAAAACGACAAAATTTTTTAATTATTTAATTTAAAATAACATTCAACATTATTATTATTAATGACATTATCAAGAAAGAACCCGGTACTTACATCATAATCAAGTGAGCAATGAACGCCACCCAACGGTTTGCTGCAAGTATTAAAAGTCCTATGACGGCAAAAGTTTTACGAATAAGATTTAAAATAGTACTTATAATAAACATAATGACTCTTTTTACAATTTCTCCAGGTATTTTCTATTATTATTATTATTATTATTATTATTATTATTATTATTATTATTATTATTATTAGAAGAAGACATATATCTTTTTTTTGTTTAATATAATATATTTTAATATATATAATATATATGATGAAATAAACTTTTTTCACCTTATTGTTAAAAAAAATATATTTTTCCTTTCCCTTTCTTCAGAAAAAATCTTTATTATATATCTGAACGATTTTGGTGGCACTTTGTTACCATTTAAGTAAAAATCAAGTTTTTTTTGAAAATCACACGTTATTCACACAATTCATTTTCATGTGTTCAAGATTTTTTAGGAGATGTATATAATCTCAATCTACCTCGGTTCCCGTATTTTTTGTAAAATTTCTTTATAATGAACATATTATAAATTTGATAATTTTCAAGACTTTCACCAATACTAGATTTTGACACTTTAGAGTTTCTCCAAGATAAATAATTTTCTTTTTTATTATTTTATTCATAAAATATTAGAAGGAAAATTATTATTAACTCGCAATGATTTTAAGTCATACACAAAACTCACCAATTGAATAAATAGGATACTGACTGTAAACATGTGACTCCCATTACAACGAGATTTCTTACATTTTTAATGTACAGCCAGGGTTTCTACTGAAAATTTTCTGAAGACATGTGTTGAAAATATTTGGAAACGTAAATATATTACCTATAAAGGAAATAATATTGCCTTTTTGGAGAAAGATATCCCATCAACAGAAAATTCAGCAGTATGGGGCTTTGCTGTATAGGAAGGAACATTGAGCTTCAAAGTCAATTGTCATTCATATAAATTTTAACGATCGACGTTGAAAATTCTATATATGAAAAAAAATGAAATCCCAATTTATATGTTTTTTGTGCTGCTATCTCCACCGAATTTGAAAACGTAGTAGTAATAGATTTCATAATAATAATAATAATATACTTATCAGGGCAATTGGAGACAAACTATTTAGTCATGGAGCGTGTGACATCGAACAAAAATCCGTGTAACTAAAATACAAAAAGTCGGGCGCACGAAAAATTAAAACAACTTAAATAATATATTTGCAAAATTTCGCATCTCTAACATTCTTATAAAATTTCGACCTAATAAACAAAATGTGCGCATTTAGTTACATTGACTTTGTTTGACATTATTTAAGTTAACATCGAGATGTTAATCAGTCCGGTGGTGCATCAAATTATCCCGATAAATTCATTGTTTGTAGTAGTTGATTGATTTCTTATGAATATCAAATGAAGGCATCACCACCACCATCATAATTGGCTTTTATTGTTATATATTTTTATATTATTACATAGCACGCTTGCGCATGCTCTATTGAAAAAACTTGTTTACTATTGGTATAAATTTTTTTTTACTTTGCAAAAAACAAGTCTACTATTGAAGATAGATGTAAAAAAAAGAACTTGAGCGAGCAACAAGAATATGAAAAGTTGGGGAAAGTTCGAGCTGAAGTCAGAGGGGTTGAATGAGTTAAAGATAAAGTTCGTAGGAGAAGAATGGAACATGAACCGTTCTTATTTAGTTTTGGCTTTACAGAATTTTGAATTGATCAATTTAATTGGGCCCAATTTTTTTAAGAGATCATATGTAGTAAATAAAAAAAATAACGATCACAAGGCAGCTTTTTGGTTAAATTATAATATAATTTCATGACAAATTGCTAAATTTTGGTTACAAATTAAACCTCGCGAATCTTTTTGTAAGTTATATAAATTAAAAAAATCATTGTCTTTTTCTCATAGTCGAATCAAAATAAATAAATAATAAATCAATTAAAAATTCATGCTTGACATTTATTTATATAAATATAAATATAAATATA